GGGGGGTAGAGGTACGGGTTAGGGTTAGGATAGGAGCTGTGGGGGGGTAGAGGTACGGGTTAGGGTTAGGATAGGAGCTGTGGGGGGTAGAGGTCCGGGTTAGGGTTAGGATAGGAGATGCTCTTTGAAGAGGGGGGTCTTCAAGAGTTTCTTGAAGACCCCCCTTGTTCTTGTAGCGCTTGGTAGGTGGTTCCTCCATTTTGGAACGACAGACGCAAACAGTCTGGATTGTCTTAAGCTGGTGAAGGCTCTGCTAGACCACAATCCAAACTTTTTCCCAGTCTTGCTCTTTATATGTCTGTATGGTGTTGTATAGATATTCCAGGTGTAATGTATGTGTAATGTCTTTGTCTAACTGTCTATGTACACACCTAAAGTCTATGTCTATGTCTGCAAAGTAAGAAACGCAATTTAAATTCTTTGTATGACCAGCGCATGTAAAGAAATTGACAATAAAGCCTACTTGACTTGACTTGACTTGAGATGTGTCTAGGACAGGGGTGCTCACACTTTTCAGCATGGGAGCCACTTTTGAAATGACCAAGTCAAAATGATCTACCCATTATATTTTGAGAAATATATTGAGGATTCTTACAACTTATGTTGATGTATAACCACATATGTTGCACAACACAACATAATTATGTACATTTTTTGCCATCACCCACTCATTTTCATAACCTATATCTTACGTTTAAGAGGAAAAAAACGAGCGAAAAGTTAGGATGTAACTAACGACTAGCTTGTTAGCTTTGCTGCGCACAGTGACTTAATTGTAGGGGAAAAAATCAGATTTCATCTGACTGGTTGTCCTGTGTATCAATCAAGTGACGGGACGGCTGATAGGCTGACGTCTAGTTTTTATTCAAAACAACTCAACTTTATTTGTATAGCGTCAGTTCATGATAATGTCTCCTCACCTTGTCATGGGATCTACCAATAGCACCTTGGAGATCAACTGGTAGATCGCGATCGACGTATTGAGCACTCCTGGTCTAGGAGTTTCCCCCCGAAATCGGTTTGTTCTCGGAGTGGTTTTGGTAAATGTGCCGTCTCCCTGTTGTCCGCAGTGTTTGGAAAGAGCCATGAAGTTTGCCTTTGAGGAGTTCCACCTGTGGTACCAGCTGGCCTTGTCCCTGATGGCGGCGGGGAAATCGGCTCGTGCCGTGAAGGTCTTAAAGGAGTGCATCCGGCTGAAGCCCGACGACCCCACCATCCCCCTGCTGGCCGTCAAGCTCTGCATCGGGCCGCTGCACTGGGTGAGGCCCAAACCACATTCCTTACCTCAGACTCCTAACTAGGGGTGGGACGGTTCACAAAATCCACGGTTCGGTTCGGTTCACGGTTTCGTTGTCACGGTTTTCGGTTCGGTTCGGTACGTGTTGATTGTTAGGAAAATCTATTATGTCTTGTATAGTCAGGTTAAAACTGAAAGAAAAAAGCAGTCTGACATTTGATACATCATTGTGACAGTCTTAGATTAAAAGTAGGTGAGATTCTGCCAGAGAGGAAACAGAGCTAATTCCAACACGTGCTTCCCTCTAAATGCAAACTGGTCCATACAGCAGACCTAGAAACTGCTGCTGGGTCTGATTTTTATCGGCTACGCTGCTTCTTCTTCTTCTTGTTTCCTACTGGTGGCTGGCTTTGGGCGCAGTAGCGCCCCCTTCTGCTCTGGAGTGTAAACGCTTCCCTCTGAGAAAAAGGAGCAGTATGAACCGAACGCAACACACGCAAACCGAACCGAGACAGAACCCAACGGTTCAGACGGTTTTCAGAAACCGTCCCATCCCTAATAAAGGTTCCCGATCCCAATAAAGCTGCCGCACCAACTCTGCTGCTTTTTCCTCTTTTTTTATGTCTTTACTGCCACGATTCAGCTGGACGAAGGGGAGAACTTTGCAAAGATAGTGATCGATATGGGAGAGAAAGCAGCTGAATTCAGAGCCAAAGGCTATTTGGCCATCGGCCTGGTCTACAGCCTTAAAGCTACAGACGGTACGTTTCTGGCTTCATTCCACTCATTTGGCTCAATGTTTTCTCTAGATTTCTACCAGCACATTTACTTAGAAATTGTTTACTTTTAAAACTAGTATTTTACTCATCAAGGACTCAGAAAACATGAATTGTTTTTGTTGTTTAAGGCCTTTTTTTGACCTGTGAGATGTCAGAAAAAGCAGCACGAAGGCAGTTACAGTGGGGGAAATAAGTATTTGACCCCTTGCTGATTTTGCAGGTTTGCCCACTTACAAAGAATGCTTATTTTTCCTCATCAGATGGTTATCAATTTTTATAAATTCATATGATGTGATTTTCTGGAATTTTCTTTGGGATTCTGTCTTTCACTGTTAGAATGTACATATGATTAAAGTTATAGATCGTTGCATTCTTTGTAAGTGGGCAAACCTGCAAAATCAGCAAGGGGTCAAA